CCAAGACCTTTAGAAACTTGGCTTCACGTGGAAGGGCGGGGAAGGAAGTCTTTGCTGGGGTGGAGGGTCCTCTCGGCTGGAGGTAGGCGGTGTTGGCTGAGCTCCATAGAGGGCTTGTAGAGTTAGTGACTTCCTCCTCCCAAGGACTCCTCTGCCCTGAAGGCAGGAGCTCCAGGGATTAAGGGCAGAGAAGTCTCATTGTAGAGGTCTGCTTTGAACTTGTCACCTTGTTTTCTCAGGGCATGACCCCAGATTTCCTGCCTCCTGCAAAGGTGACCCAGGGTTTGTTGAGGTACACTTTGACTTCCTTCTTGTAGGGTCTCATGTACTGAGGCCCAGCTGGGGGAGGTTGGTGGAGGCATCTCTGTAGGCTCAGTGCTGTCCCTGCCAGGCCCCTGGAGAAGCAGGAGGGGGCAGGATGGAGGAGCTTGCTCCCTCTTACACAGTGTTTCCTGAGCGGGGCAGACGGTGGCTTCCTGGGGTGGGTGAGCAGAGCCATGGTTGGGTGGTAGTGCAGGCAGTGGCCTGAAGGCCTCCTAGCTGGGTGGCAGCTGGGAGAGGTAGGAGAGCAAAGACATTCGCCATTCCCTTACAGCCTCTGTTCACATATGCTCTTCGGTCTTTGTTTTCTGCGTCTCCTCTCCTGCAGTCCTTCCTGATGGTCCTTCCTGGGAACTACATAGATCTTAGAGCTGTTGGCCCCATCTCTGTGGGTGGCTCTTCTGTGAAGCCCATCCTAAGTGGCTTCCCTGTACTGGGGTCTGCCATCCTATCCTCTACCCAGAGAGGTGAAGTGGCACCTCTAGCCAAATCCTGGAACTCTCCATCCTTGGTCCTTTCCTTGTTCCAGGGGCTCTAATTGGGCATTGTGTGTAAAAAAGTAATACAGGGAAAAAAGCTCAGCTCTCCAGGGCACTCAAGGGTGGGAGGGCTGAACATTCACCTCTCCGGCCCAGAGCCAGAAGTGCTGTGCAGTCAGCTGCTGCCTGTCCCTTCGAACACTCATAGCTGGGCAGGGGAGCGGTTTCCATAGGGGTGGCTGATAGCCGTTGGGCAGCCCTGCACAGAATACCTCACCCGCCCTGGAGTAGTCCTGTGACCAAGGGCTAGCCTGGGGCGTCAGCGTGAAGCTCAGGGTTCAGTCAGTGAGCAAGAGAGCAGAACGCAAACCCTTTCTTGTCCCCATGTCCCTCTCCTCATCTCGTTAGTTCTCTTCCCACCAGTCCGAGGCACAAAGCTCGGCCCCTCAGCATTCTGAAATGCACTCAGCTGTGAAGAAATTCCACCCTTTTCTGGCCACTCGTTCAGTCTCTCATGATGTGGCAGCCAGCTCTGATGACCCTCGTGGGAGAGTCAGAGAACACTTTATCCGTCCCCACCTCTCCAACCTGTCTGGTGCTCACGGCTGGAGTCAGAGCCTGGGGAGGCTGCAGGTCCCAAGATTTCTTTTGCTTTTTGTACCCAGCATCCCATGTGGGGCCCTGTCCCTGGGGAGAGGACTGGCAATACCTTAGTCACTACCTACCTCCTCCCATAGAATTTGGCTCTGGGCTTTCCCCTGGGAGCCAGGGAGAGTGTGGGCCTCCAGTTGGCTTGGAGAACTGAGACCATTTTCTTCACCAGCAGCTCACAGCACTGGGTCCTGTTTCACAATGGCCAGGGAGGCTAGCCAGGATGTTGTTAACCCTTTCCATACTGCTTCCTTAGCCCAGAGGGAACCCAGACTGGAAGATGCAGAGAGCATAGAGTAGATTCAAAGGCCCCCTCCGTACTGAGCAGAGAGCAGGTGTCCTTTTGTTGGGATTGGAGTAGGGGGCCCTGAAGGGAAGGAGTTGATGGGTCACGGTGCTTACATATTAGCTGGGGCCCCAGAAGAAGTGGCAGGAGCAGAGGACGTGGCAGCAGTGGGGCTTGCACTGGTACAGCAGCAGAAAAGCCATGATGAACACTGGGATGAAACGATCCCTTCCCCAGAGGCAATGTCCCAGGTTCAGCCTGGACCTGGCATGCACGGTCCCATCTCACCTCTCCAGGTTGGCATTCCATTCCAGGAGTTGGGTAGGAATGACCTGGCTGGAACTAGTATCAGCTTGACATGCAGGGGAAACTGAGGGGCAGGCAGCTCCCCTTTGCTGCTGTGTGTCAGTTCCCTGTGGCAGAGGGAGGAGGGAGGACAGAGCAGCTTAATCCTGTTCAGCCCAAGGAAGGGGTGGTGTGTGAAAGGGAGTATACAGAGGGACAGACTTAGGGAGGAGAAGGAGTTTGTGGCAGGGGCAGATATCCTTAGAAACTGGATCTGAGGACGTAGGGTAGGACTGAACAGTCTGAACTCAGACTCCTGGTGCCCAGCTCTTCTTCCACTGTCACGGACTGTGGCATCATAGAACTCAGCAGGGAAGGAACCCCAGGGTTCAGAGACCAACCACACATAGCATTCTTCCCAAGTGGCTTGCTCCAGGTGACCCTATAGATAAAGAGGCTGGGCTTCTGGCCTCTGGTGAGGGGCCAAGGGTGCATCTGCCCCAACCCTGGGACTTGGGCCAGTAATAGATACTCACCAGTGGCCACAACTGTGGCTAGGAGGCTGTCGTCCAGTGAGCAGCAGTGGCAGAGGAGTGCCAAGTAAGGGCATCGGCCTTGGATGACCCTGAAGACAGCCAGCAGGGCCACAGGACCGGCTCTCTCCCCTGTCCCCACTGGGCAACCTTCCAACCCAGGGACCCTGGCCCAGAGAAGCAACTTCATTCAGAGCCAGGGTATCTGTGAGCAGCTCTACAGGTTCTCAGCTTCTGCCTCTGCTTGTCCTGGTCGATACAATGCCAGGACCTACAGATGTCCTATAGATGGGATGGCACTCCACTTTGCAGGCCTGGCAGACATAAGGGTCCCTCAACAACTGGCAGGGGACGGGGTGGGCAGGAAGAGACTCAGCCTCTGCTAAACCCAGAAGACAGCCAGGGGAGCTCCAACTCACCCAGATGTCTATGCTTCTCAGTCCCAATCCCCTTCCAGCCTGACTCTGCCCCTGGCCCCTCCTCTACTTCCCATTGGCCCGGATAACTGGGCGCCACATGCCAGTTGGCTGTCCTCTGGTCTTTGCATCCATCTCTAATGGAACTGAGGTGTCCATAGTTGTCCTGGAAACTGTGCACAAAATACAAGTCTCTCTCCCCAGGCCCTTCTCCTCCTTCCAAAGGAATTGTGCAGCTCCAGGGGCCCAGCCCCCCACCACCTTAGCCTAGCCAGTCTCCCGATTTTGCCCCAGGGGCTCAGCCAGGGGAGGATTTCAAAGCCTAAAAAAGCTCAAGCCTCCAGGTTGAGCTAACCCTACGGAAAGATAGAGGTGGAAAACACTGTTGACCAGGAATTCAGGCAGAGAAGCTGCACTCGCACTTGCTTCAGTGATCTGGATGGGGGAGAGGACAGGAGAGGAGGGCCTGCACGCCAGCCCCACACTCTGACCACTCCAGTCCCACAGACGCTTCTCACTCACAGGGCCAAGATGAACAGGCCAGAGCAGTGGGGGTGGGGCTGGGACTTGTGAATCAGCATTGCCTGGGGGAGCTTCGAACCCATAGCAAGGCTGGGTTGCCACCTCAGACCAATTAACGCAGAACCCTCAGTCAAGATCCCAATCCTCTGGGCTAAAAGTACAAGCTCAAAGTGTTCACAGCAGTGACAGTAACTAGAATCTGGCAGGGGCTGGGGCTGAAACAGACTGCATGTCCCACCCAAGTTCAAAACATAAGACTGGAAAAAGGTGTGCTAGTCCATAGCATAGCCTTAGCCTGGGTTAAGCCTGCAGGCTGGCCTGTGAACCCTTAGGCAGCAGATGCTAAATGTTCTGATATTTACTGCCTGTGCCTAATATGCTAAACCCATTACTAATTTTTCTTTTCATTGATGTAAAGGTTGATGTAAAAAAAGTTTTAGAGAACCAGAGTAGAGCTTCAGATAGGAAGCTTCACTAAAATTGGAGCCAGAAAAAAGCAATCATCTCAGGCCCTGAACCGAAGCACTATTTCCTTGGAAGTTTTTGCTGTTACCGGCCCTTAGAGCAGGAGAATGTGGTGGCAGAGGGGTGTGGAGTCCTCCTGCTTCCATCTGAAGCCCGCAGCCACCACCTAATCGTTTTGACTTTGGGTTCATCATTTCAGGTTCCTGATGTGCTAAACGAAGATAATAAAAGTGCCCGCCCCACAGGGTTCTGAGGATTAAATGAGATACTGCACGCAGGGTCAGCACAGTGGCTGAACAAGCAGAAACCCAAAGGCTGCTACTGGTGGTCAGGGGTGCCCTCTCCTGGCAACTTGAAAAACTTGACATGTTCAGGACCCTTTGTTCCCCAGACTGAGCTGACCAGGCCCTGGTGACTGGCTGACAGGGTGATCTTAAAGGTCTGAGAAACCTTCACCCTTGCTCCCACGTAAAGTAAGGAATGATACCCCCTGCTAACAATGGCAGGAGAGTCGGAGGGGAGAAAGGGCTTGAGAAAAAGAGGGAGGTCGGACAAACCTTCCCATGTGGCCCTCCCAGGTCCTAAAGCAATGGCTAGGAACCCAAACTACCACTGCTTCTGCCTCTAAAGGGGCAATGAAAACCACCAGGCCCTGGCTGGGATGGCCTCCGTTCTTGAGGGTGCCTGATAACTCACAGGCCCTGGTGACGTCAAACGCACAGAAGCCAGCCTCTGGCTGCAAGGGAACAAGCGCTGGGTCAGGACCCTGACAAACTGAACTGGCTCTCCTGCTGGCCTGCTGGGTGGCAATGAGGACGTCTCTGAGCTTCTCTGGGCCTGTTTGTTTACCCCTCAGAGAAAGAGGGATCTGGATTGGATGGTTTCTTGTGTCCCTTCTGGCTCTTGAATGGATTCTAAACTGCTCTCACTCTGGGGGCATGAGACCTTCACCTTCTGCCGAAGTACCAGCCAATACTTTCAGGAGAAGAAGGCCCAACAGTGATGGCTCGCTTGACAGCCAGGAGGAAAAACAGAGGCTTGGTTTAGAGAGAGAGATATATTTCTTCTGTTGCATATTTCAGACTTGACACTGAGCTTCAGGCACAATGCTGCTCCAGGTTCTTCTGAGAGCCCCGGCAGAGTCTTCTTCCCATGCTGCTCACGAGGGCTTGCCCCTGCAGGGCGGGAGCCCCAGCCCTGCTTGCAGTTCCGGGTACCTGGGAGACTGCCATAGCCCCGGTAGGCCCCAGTGCCCTGCTATTCTCATCAGGGGCAGGGTATACTGGAAAGCCCTGGAGCCAGCCCCACCCCTTCTTCTGTGGTCCCCTGGCTGCAAGAGGAGAGGCTGACCCATTAGCATCCAGCTCCACAGTGCTCCCCTAAATCGCCTGTTCTCCGGGCCTCAGAGCCTGGCACCGCACTTGCACCCCACAGAACCTCGGCCGTGAGCACCACAGGCCGAGGCTGGGGAATGAGGTCCTGGAGAGCGAGGCAGGTCCAGCCTCCCCCGGAGCAACAGCAGACGGGCTCGTCAGGCCCCTGCTCCCCAGGGCCATGGCCCACTTCCTGGGGCTGCTCTGAGCCCTATTGCACATCTTTTGTTTCCAGTTCATCCTCCACCACCCATTTTCCTTTAAAAAAAAAAATCAGAGGGGAAGGTGAGGAAGAGTGGGCCCTGGAAGCTGGAGCCCATGTTCCTGCCAATGTCTGGTCCCTAGCAGAGCCGTCAGCAGTAGTATTGTGGCCACCTTCCCTGCCGTCCACATGCGTTCTTGATGGCTGACGTGGGTGCACTGCCTGGGCCTCTGGTTCTTGCCTATGAGGAGGACGCCCCTCCGCTGTTTGTAAGGTGCAATTCCCCAGGTCATCTGGGAGCGCTGGCTGGGGCCCTGCTACCTGAGTCGCCCATCTGCTTTGACAGGCCCCAGCTCCGATTTGGGGTCAGGGAACAGAGAGCTCCAGCTGGTCAGTCTGCAGAGCTCCAGGGAGGGACAGGCGGAGGGGCCCATGGCACACAGTCCAGCCACAGACCAAAAGCTGCTCAGTTCCCCATCTGCCCAGGCCTCCAGCGCGGGGCCCGTGAGCTCTGCATGCAGCCGGGCGGCCTCCTCCGCAGGCTCTGGCTGAGGCAGGTTCAGGATGCCACTCAGTCCCTGGAAACTCTGCTCCATATACTCGTTGTGGGGTGGCCCGGCATGCAGCCAGCTGGCATCATCTGGGGGTGCAGAGCAGGGAGTGAGCATACCGCGCCCCAGCGATTCCACGAAGGCCAAACCCTGGGAGTCAGGTCTGGGCACCCTAGTTCCTGTCCTAATTGTACTAACCGAGTCTCATCTTGCTGAGTGACCTTGGGCTAATCTGCAGAGCCTTCTGTGCCTGTAAAACTGTTAGTTTTATAAAATCAAGACAGTGATCCCTTGATTCCCAACTTAAGGATTAAGTAAAACAGTGGGCTTAAGGCACTTTAGAAAGTAAAGTTACTTTCTGGTAATGTTCTGGTCTGTGTCACCCATGCACCTTCTCAGCCCCCTCCAGTGGTTCCCAGAGCCATCAGAAGCCTAGTGCCCAGGCCTCCCAGCTGTGGGGCCCTATTCACTTTGTCAGCCTCCCTTCCCACCACCGCCTGCCTACTCCCCTGCTCCCCTCATGCACCAGACACCTGCCAACTTTGTTCCCTCAGTTTAGAATTCCCTTCTCTGTCTATAGAAGTCCAGCTCATTCAAAGCTCAGCTCCAATACCCTCCTGCTATAAAGCTTGCCTCCATTCTCACCCCCTCCTTGTTTTGTCTCCTCCATCAGGCTCGGAGTCCTAGGAGAGCAGGGGTGTGGCTTACCCCTCTAATCTGCCACAGCCGCTGCCCCATCCCAGTATCCTGTCATCCTCTGGGTTAGCCCTGCTCTGAGCCACCTTCTCTGCAATAGGATGTGACCGGAGGAAGGAAACTTCTATCTACTTACTGAGCACCTACTGTATACCAGCCATTTTTACCCACATACTCATCTGTAATATCTCCCAGGGGGTAGTTACTTGTGTTAGAACCCCCTTGCAGGAACCTGCAGTCTAGGCCTATGGTCAGAGTCTGCTCTCTTAGCCTCAGCCAAGTGGGCAGAGGGCCATGTGACCCTGCCCACCTGGCCACACAATGGACTGGGAGGATGGCCAGTCAGACTTGCTGTCCCAAGAATGTGGAACTTGGGGACCAAGAGGCCCTGGTCAGTCTCTGTTACACTGAGAGGCCATGTATCATGTACTGAGGAGCCAGACCCTGAGGCTGATAAACATAGAGCACAGGATGAGGGACAAAGTGGCCCCAGAGAGACTGAGAAAGTACCTCTGGTTCCCAGTGAGAACATCCTGGGTTCTGTGGGGGAGAGCCCTGCATTTTCCCAATAATTTCCTCTTTTTCACTGGAGCTAGTTTGAGTGGATTTGTGTCCATTGCACTCAGGTCTCTAGCAATTGTAGAACTCTTACTGTACGTGTAGGAAGACTTGAGGCTCAGGAAGGCCAAGTAATTTGCCAAGGATAACAGCCCAGCTAAAGTTTCAGAGCCAAGTCTGCCTGACACCCAAGCACCATACAGACCACAGTGCAGGGCCCTGGCATGCTTAGGGTTGGATAATCAAGGCTGCAACCTTCCTCCTTCCCCTACTCTAATGGTTAGCTTCTGGGGGTCACCTGCCTGGCAAATCCTATTCTGTCTGGCTCCTGGGCATCATTTAGGAACTAGATCCTTACCTTTCCTGAGAGGTAGTTTGCGGTTGAAGGTCAAGGGCAGCACGAGGAAGCGGGTCTCACCCAGTGGCTCCCAGAACTGAAGCAGTCGAACAGTCCAGGCCCCTGGCCGCAGGGGCCGGCTCAGTGGGGGCTTGTACTGCGTGACCTCGGTTTCCGCATCTACTGCAATGTCGTAAGACGTGGCCACCACATAGGTGGGGTCGATCCACACCACGGTGGCTGTGAGGTTGGGGCCTCGGGCCCAGCGCTGCATGGCCACAGGCTCATCCAGGGGCCCCAGCAACCCCCCAAAGTTCCGGAAAAGACGCTCTTTGGGGTCCCACTCGGTGCCAACCTGTAGGGAGGGAGGCAGCTGGGCAGGGGCCAGGGGAAAGTCCTTCTTTCTACCTCCTGCTGCCTCTAACTCCTGTGACCTCAGGCCAGTTACTGTCTCTTTCTGGGCCTCAGTTTCCCCATCTGCAAAATAATGGGCTCAGACTAGGATTTTTTTTTTTTCAGGATTTCTTTAATATCTCTCTAAGCTCTGAGATTCAGTCTAGGCTCCTGTTCTGCAGTGCTGGGGGCAGTTAAGGCAGAGATAAGTTTCAAAGCCCTGCCCAGAGACCATCCCCACATGGAGCCAAGGCCTCTGAGAAAGAGACTGAGGAGACACTCAAAAGCCTAACCTTCTGGCCCGACTGGAATGTCCAAGTCCCTTTAGAAGAAAATCCCTGGAGTGTAGAAGACTGGGCTTGCGTTGTAGTTGAACCACAGTCCCCTCCCTGCTGACTGCATGTCCTCTGTGCATCCCAAGGTTGCCATCACTGGGAAAGAAGACCCATGAATCCAGTCCTGAAAGACCTAGCCCAGTCCTTAGCCCTCCCTTGGTGTCTATCCCTCTCCCCCCGCTGCCCTGAGTCTTGCTGGGGGTCAGGAAAAAGCAAGGGGAGGACCTGTCCCACCTCCAAACTCTGGAGCCGGCTGGCCTGATCACTGCGCCCCAACAGCTTCAGCGACCCCTGGGGCATCAGCCACATCTCAAGCGTCTCTGCCGGCCCCTGGGCTGAGGGCTGCACCGCCTGCGTCACCAGGTAGCCCTGGAAATGGTCGTCATAGAAATACAGGTGCACGCTGGACGGCAAGCCCCTGGGCTCAAACCTAAGAAGGTTCCAGCAGGGAGAAAGGGAGATGCCATCAGCACACCCAACTTGGCCTGGAGTCTCAGGGAGGGGGCTCTGGGGAGTCCCATCTCCAGACGCTTCCTTTGTCCCAAATCTCACACCCACAGCACCTATGTGCCTGGCTCTTGCTGTATGTGTTTTATTTGCATTTTTCCCTGCCTCAGACTGGGGGCTCCCTGGGGGGCAGGGGCTCTCTCTTTCTGATTGGCCTCCCCATAGGGCACCACACCTTGGGAGTCTGCAAAACGTCAGAAGGAAGTCTCACCTGCAGAGTGGGTTGGCCAGTGGGGATGTAGCGGTGGTGGCATGGCGCAGGCTGAGGCGGGCAAAGGCAGTGTAAGCGGTGAGCATGACATCACTGAGCCCACTGGCGCCGTCGGCCACGTCGTAGGTGTTCTCCCAGTAGGCCTTGAGGGCCGGGGTGCCGGGGGGGTAGCTGCCATACAGGTGGAAGTCCAGGATTTCCAGTACCTCCTGGTTCACAGTCGACTCAAACTTCCGGGCGAAGAAGGTGGGTCTGGAGACTTGCTGGAGCAGGAGAGGCAAGGAGGGTGAAGGGGTCTGGAAGTTCCAGAGAGCACGGCAGGGGAGGGGCCTGCCCAGCGCTGCCGAGAGCCCAGCCTCCCTGTGCTTTTCCTGCTGCCAGTGTAGCCCCAGATCCCTGAGGACTGCGCCCAGTGAAGGGCCTGCAAATTCTGACTGGACCGCCCTGGATTATTTCTGACCCTGGAAAGCACATGGCAAAAAGCTGGGGTGAGGCCCTGTCAAGGGGCAGAGACTGGGGGCCGTAGGGAAGCACCTGCAGCCGAAGGAAGTCCTGCGGCTTGAAGTCGTTGGGGGAGCAGCCGCACCAGTCCACGATGTGCTTGTACTGGCACTTGCAGCCCAGCTTGCGGTTCCAGTTGGTGACCCGCAGGTTGTTGTCCACGAGGCTCTCGCAGGCCGGGCTGTTCTCCAGCACCGTGTGGAAGAAGGACTGCGGGAGGCAGGGTGGGCAGAGGGTTAGCTGCGGGCACCCGGACTGCGCCCTCCCTGGCCTGGTGCGGGCCCGGGTCACCCACCTCAGCTGGGAGCAGTGTGTACGTGTAGAACTGACGTAGCTGGGCCACCAGTGGGTCGTCTGTGTACACCACATACTCCACAAAGCTGCGCGTCAGCACGAACCAATCAGAGCCGCCGTCCACCACGATGCCTGCGGGGATCTGCCGCTCGCCCAGGCGCCACATGTGGGAGTCACACTCATGGAAGAGCCGGTCCAGGCCCTGTTTCTTGATGAACCTGTGGGAGGCAGACGGGCCGTGGCTGAGGGTCTTGCAAGGTGGGACCCAGGTGCTTATCATTCCAGGAACTGGCATTCCTCAATCTGTGATTGGTTTGGTGGCTTTGTAACCCAGGGCTGGGGCCACCGGGCCCCCTATGCGGGTGTGTGGCGAGACCCTAGGGCCTCCCACACCCCCTCACCTGGAGTTGTCCCGGCCATGCGACTTCAGGAAATTCTTGTCCCGGTTCTTGGACAGGAAAGCCACGAGCTCTTCATTGGTCCTGAAGAGGGAATGGGGTGTGGCCAGCGTGTGTGAGGTGGCTGTCACTGGCCCAGAGCAGAGCCCCTCCAGCACTCCTCATCTTCACACCGCGGCCACTTCCTTTCTCCCTGAGAGCCATCCTGGCCACATGCCCGACCCCAGATTGATGCTCTGGGGTGGTAAGCACCTGAGGCCCCCAAGGAAGACCACCCCTTCCTCCACCCCTTGCTGTCTGACCCAGGACTCCCCAGTACAGGCTCCTCCTCCCCATCTCTTGTCCCTATCAATCCTCACATCATCATCTTTCACTAACTCCCTCCCTAAGACATGGCTGGGGCCAAGGGACCGTGTCTGGGCTGTGCGATCCCATAATAGGGCCTGGTGGAGGGAAAGAGTCCCTCAGGACCTTCGAGCCCCAAGTGCCCAGATGGGCACCCTCCCATCCAGAGGGTTCAGATCACTGCCCTGTACCTGGTCGGGTAGTCGGTGGCACTGAGGTTGATGAAGAAGTCCCACGCCCAGCCAGGCACCTCCAACAGGTCCCGCATGCTCCGCAGATACATCCTCAGCAGGCTGGCCCCACCCCAGATGGTGACCATGCGCCAGGGTGTCACCCGCACATTATCATATTGCCGAGCCAGCTCCACCACCTCGCGGTGCAGGTAGTTGGAGCGCTGTGGGAGGTGCGGGGAAGAGGGGAAACTCAGCAGCTGCAGAAAGAGCTCCCCAGCATTACAACCTCCCCACCCTACCCTTGTACTGGGGCAGAGTACAAGTGACATGGAATGGAGACAGCACAGGCCAGGGCTCCAGCTCCAAAGCGGCCGAGTCACCTGGTGCTGGCTGTTCCCCATTCCAAGCCTGTTCCCCTCTGGGCCACCTGAGCAGGTTGGAGACACTGTCTGTCCATGACCTTCTGGGTCTCTGCTCTGCTCACTCAGCTGCCCTTGGTCTGCCCCGGCCACAGTACCTTGTCCACGTGGATGTAGAAGAAGTGCTGCTCGTGGTAGACAGCCTTGAGGAGACGCTTCAGCTGGCGGATGGCACGGCCATGAACCACCAGCATGTAGGCGATTCGTACTGGGGGGACATCCACGGGCTGCTGGGCCCGGACCTCATCCCACTGGATGCCGGGGCTCATCTTTCCTGAGAGCAGAGAACAGGGGCATCGGTGAGGCCCCTCCCCAGGTCACAGGTGGGAGGCGAGATGGGAAGAGGGGGCTGCCTGTCTTCTGAAGGAAGAACTCTGGACCTGGTGCCCCACGGTCCTGGGCCCCAGCTCCATCTCTGCCACTTAGCGCACTCATCACCGACTTGGGCTGGGAGATGGGCCCCTCCGAGCTTTTATCCCAGAGAAATGGGGGTGAGGATCCCTGCCACGCCCCCTCCCACGCTGCTACCTCTTCGTCCATGCCCATCTCTTACCAGCCCGCTGACAGTGCCGGGGTACAGCCTTGGGCATGAGGCCCCCGGCCTGGTGCAGACACACCACGTTGGCGATCTCCTGCTGGCACTGCTTGGAGCTGGCCCGAGCCAGTGCAGACAGCGCGTCCTTGCCCACGATCTCGCACTTGGGCGTGAAGCCATTGTCTGTGGGCTGGGGGGCACCCTCCACACTCCCTGTGTCTCCATGTGGGAAGCCGGCTGCCCCAACCAGCGCCTCCCCAGCAGCTGCCCCACTCAGGTTCTGGCGGCCCGGGGCCTCTGGGGGTGGGGTGGGCAGGATCCGCCGGCTGGCCCTGTGCCGGCTGGTTACCGCCCGCACCACCTTGGCCACGGGCACGCCGGGGCTCTCAGGCGCGGCCCCCGCAGCGCCCATCGCCTTCTGCCTGCACTCGCCCCTCCGCCCTAGCCTGACGCTGTCTGTGTCCTTGGACGCCCCGTCCGGCCCGGGG